ACATTTGTCTTCGATCCATGCAAAAGGTAATGTGATATAAATTTGCTTCCTTTTTAGTTTTTGAGTTTTCTTCTTTATTATTTCTTATGTGCTATGAAAACTTATATAGCTTTTTAAATCTAATTATATATTATCCGGGTATTGTATTACCCTGTTTAAATTAGTCTGAATTTTATTTCTTTCATCCCTTCTCACAAAATTGTATAGCTCCATCATTGCCTGTACTAATTTACTTGGTATTAGAAGCTTGTGAGGTAATTTTTTTTATAGGGTTCAGTGTGTTTTATTTAAAAGGATATACGTTTGTGTCTTTTTAGTGACTTACAAAGAGTATGATCAGTCATATTCTGTGTAATTTTGAAAAGTTATTTTTTTTTCACTTTACACGTCAGCGATATGACTCAGGAGAGAAAAAAAAAACTTTTAGATTTACACAAAGTATGACTGATCATACTTTCTGTAAATCATCTAAAAGTACACAACTTATATATTTTAAATAATACTTCTTTTTCTCTTTTTTTTATAATGTTTTTTGATTTTCGAGGTTTAGAATTATGTTGGGTTTCGAAGTAAACCATTCATCCTACCACGTTCTTGATTGGTTTTGACACTTGCTTTCCTTTGAAGTATGCAAGGGGCGTTTGGTAGAAGAATTTTTTTTTTTTATCCGGAAATCATAATTTTTAGAAATATGATGAGAAGATAAGTTTTCTAGGAATATTACCAAAAAATTATTTGGTAGGTCAAAATATTCCCAGAAATATTGAGTTAATTTTCTTGATACTATGTTTAGTTATATTAAATTTTTTCTTGTCATAGAAAATCCCAAAAAAATCAGATTATCGGAAAAATTTTAAAAATCTTTTACCAAACGTGGATAAATACAATTATCACTTTCAATTTTCCTAAAATCTAAAAAAAAATCTTGTAACATTCTACCGCGCCATTGTTTTAACTTTTGCTATTATTTTGTTTAGTTTCTTACCCTTTTTTTTCTTCCTTTGTAGCTAAAATTTAAAATATATCGCAAATGTTTAATTATGATAATATATATAGAGAAGTTACATGTTTTCCTTTTTCTGGCATGTGTTCCTTGAGTCTGTAAAGCTCTGACAAATGGCACCTCTTGCTTTTAATATTTATCGATTTTTATATATTAAATTGGAATTTATTTTTGTATAGTTATACTTTCTCAGTTTAATCTTCTTTAAAAAATTAACATGTGATATGTCTAAATTTTCTTATTTACAATTTTTATTTAAATTAATATATATTTTCAAAAATTAATATACTTTTTAATTTTATAAATTTTAATTTTACTTGAGTTATTTATATACATTTACTTAGAATTTTTAATATTTTGTTTCTCTTATTTTATATTTTTATCCCAATTTATGAATACTCACACATAAAATACTTACTAATAATTTAATAAAATCATGACAATGGACATATATGCACGAGACATGTAACATGTTCAATTAATTGTCAAAATAAATTTAAAAAGTTTTTTTTTGGATACAATAAATTTAAAAGTTGAGCTTTCATTGTTATATACTTGATGGAAAACTATTTATTACTCTAATACTCTTCGGTCCAAATTTAATTTTGGATATATTAATAGAAGGGATAGAGTGTTCTATTTACTTTTTATTTTTACCTTATCTACTTATATTTAATATTATTATTGGATCAGAATCTGAAAAGGAGAGAAAAAGAATGATATTCTGATCTATTGACATTAAAAATGAATAGATAAGGAACACAAAAAGAAGAAGAAGATAGAATATCATATCTCTTAATAAAATAAAATTTGAGGAAGATGAGGTAAAACATAATGTAAATTAGCAATTTTTGAAGTGTTCCCTTTTTCTGCGGTTACTGCAGATAAGTTATCTGCAGTAAGTTCAATACGACGTCGTTTTGTGACGGAAATCATGATATTTTTATAATTTTAATTTATTTCAGGGTTATAATAGTCTTTATATTTATAATTTTTTAAGATTTCAATACCAAAACGACGTCGTTTTAGAAATAAATGCAGATAATTTATCTGCACTAACTGCAGAAACATTTTTCCCATTTTTTGAAACGTTGGTATCATTATTACTGTACTGGATATATATTCTGATTCATACTCTCTTCCTTATAGTTAATGTGATAGTAGTTCCCAATCCCATCTTCTACTTTTATAGTCTACGTTCTTCCACCTTCTTTGGTATATTAACATTATTCTAAATACTCTGATCATTCATTTTCTAGTTATCAATGGTCATCTTCTAATATACCCATATCAAAGCCAACATTGATGTTATGGTGTATTGGTCGCCATTGGTATTACTATTTTTAACGCAAGAATTGTTGATCCAGTAACGTTTTAGATAGATCTCATGATTTAACCTATTCAAAAGGATAATTTATATTCACAAAGATACTGGATTCTGGAGTCATAGAGTTATGTCATTTCACCTTGCTCAGTTATTTGATCACAATCTTCAGGAAATCTCCTCTTGTAGGGATATAGACCCTGGATAGTTATTTTTTGTTTATGGTTGTTAGTTTATTTTTGTTTGGGGCTTCGCCCCTTAATGTTATCAAAAAATAAAATAAAATAATAAATTTAGTTCTTCGGAGTTGCAATTTCTGAAGAAAACAAAAAAACTCAAACTCAAAATTGAATTATTGAGACCCATTAAAATTTCGAATAATTGTTGGTAATAAAAAAACAATATCTTTCTATCTTTGATATTTTAAAAAAAAGGAGGGAGGGAGTGGATGTCGTGTGGATCGATATCTTTCCCATAAGTGGTCACATGTATGATAGTTAAAATTTAAAATTTTAATTTATCACTATGATTTTATATTTTTATAATTTTTTTTATCAAAATGATTTTATTAATATTTCAAAATGTTTTTATACTTTTTTTTACATTATAATTTTATATTTTATAATTTATTATTATTCTTCCAATTTTACGTAAAATCTGAATTTTAACTAAGTGACATGACAATAGCTTCTTTTTTATTTGTTTGGCCGAGCTATAATTTCACTTGTTGTCTTGAATCTCTTGATGTTTTTGTATGCCTGGCATATCCAAGTGCACAAAATCACTCTATTTAAGTAATTTGCATTTTTATATTTTTTGATAAATAATTTATATATATATATATATATTCTGCAACTTTTACGTTACATTGAACGAATATTCAGAAAATCATAAATTCGCATAATTTAATTTTTCTTGATGTTATTATTATGAGTTTAATTAGCAACATTTAAAAAAGAGAAACTTCATTGAAACATTAAACAACATACCATAAAAGAAGGTGGCAAGCTTCGTAGTTTTACACATTTTGCAGCCTTTTTTCTCATACGTGATTTCGCAGTATTGTTCAGCTTTGAAACAGTAGCAGAGAGGAGGGTACACTATTATTGCATAATAGCTAATCTCACTGTTCATCGAAACCAAGCTTCCCTATTTTCCTTACAATCAATATAACCTCATTTTTCCCACTTCCCACCGACGCCATTGTGTTTCGTTGATCTCAATGTCTGTGTCGGACTCAGAAAAAAAATGCTACAAGCTTTAACAAAGGTGAGGACAAAGATTATGCTCAAGCTCATTGTATCCCTCTCTTATAGCTAAATGCCTTACTGGGTTTTTGTTATTTCCCAACTCTGCATGTGATTATTGCTCTTCTCTGAAACTTCAAACTTTTTTTTTTGTGCTAAAGATCCCTGCTTTGCATAACTGTGCTTTCTTGGAGACCTGGGCTTCATCCATTTTGTACCTTGTTTTGTAAATGCCTACAGAAAATATCAAAAATCAAAAATACTTGCCATTTGCATAATGTGGCTTTGTTTTGTACACAAGATCTTCAAGAGCTTCCTGATCAATGTTTTGTTTTGCTGTGATCATACTTGGAATCATATTGCTAGGATCCTGGATGCTAAGCTTTTTTAATCTGTTTTGGGCATGTTTATGATTTTACTCTCTAGCTGATGTTATACTTGCCTGAGATTGAAGGAGCTCGTGATGTGTGTTTTTTTTTTTTTTTTAATTGATTTACATATGGACTTTCAAGATGCCTGGTGGTAAGGATAATCAGAAAAATATAAGAAAGATGCCTTCTGGTCATATATTTGGATATATGTTTTTAACTTTGTTGGCTGTGAAATTCGTTCTTTAGGATATAATGTTATTCTCATGTTCCTATTCAATCAATGATGTTCTTATTATGATAGCAAAGTTGTTTGATTCTCACTACAGCAAATCCCTTTTGCATCATAAGGAAACTATTCCTTTGCTACTCTTAACACATGCTGGATACTCTGATTTCCTGTCCCAGTGTCAAACAATAGAATAATTTTAACCTAACAGAAAGAGAAGGATTACTCTGGCATCCTTTCCCTTCATTGCAATAGCCTTCCCTCATACATAATATCATGGAAAGGGTTGATTTTTCTTAACAACCACAATTTATTTACTCTTTGCCCTTTTGGAGTTATTCATGGGGGTGTAGCCTTTATAAGCAAAAATACCTTTTAATTTGTTATGTGCTAATAAATTCGACAAATATTTGTCTCTCCTTCTCCTATTAGATATGCTCAAGCTTTCTTTAACAAAAACTTTCTTTTGTTCTCCACTTTTATGTTTCATGATACTTCATTTCATTTTGTTTTTCCTGACTTTCTTCAGGGTAAAGATATGGTATCCTCAACTTTCTCCTAGGTGCATTCATTTTGTGGCCAAAATTGTCAAAAATCATTCTCTTATTGGGTCATCTAAAAGGATAAAGCAGCTGGCAGAGTCCCCCAATTTTTGGTTTGCGTCAGTTCAAGAAACCTGAAGTTTCCAAAGCTATTTTTCTTTAAACATATCCTGTTTTGCCAATCCAGGCTTGTCAATATCTTATTTGTCAATTCATTGAGGCGGTAAATCTTGTACAGGCAGTGCAGGTATTTTACTTTTGTAGTCTGTGATTGTTTTTGATAGCATATGGCGGTTCTTACATCTGTCAGTTCAAATTTGGAATCAAAGTATCATGCTCTAGCTCCATTAAGAGTTTTAAGGGGTCTGGTCTGTCTACTGGTGCTGCTTTCAACAGCATTTATAATGTTAGTGTGCTTCGGCTTTATTAGTGCTGTTATAGTGCGACTTTTTAGCATCAGTTACAGCAGGAAAGCAACATCCTTTTTCTTTGGTGCTTGGCTAGCTTTGTGGCCTTTTCTATTTGAAAAGATCAACAAGACTAAAGTTGTGTTTTCTGGAGCTATTGTTCCTTCAAGAGAACGGATCTTACTGATCGCAAATCACAGAACTGAGGTCGACTGGATGTATTTATGGGACCTTGCCTTGCGGAAGGGAAGCCTTGGATACATAAAATATATACTTAAGAGCAGCTTGATGAGACTTCCAATTTTTGGTTGGGCATTTCACATACTGGAGTTCATCCCAGTGGAAAGGAAGTGGGAGGCTGATGAGTCATCCATGCGCCATATGCTTTCTACATTCAAGGATCCCCAAGATCCTCTATGGCTTGCTCTTTTCCCAGAAGGCACTGATTTTACGTAAGCCACGTGTTAATGGTTTTTCTTTTTATTTCAGTTATGGTAATCAGCTAAAACTTTGATACATTGTTAAGTATCTTTTGCCTATGTTCATCATGATGCTGGAGAAAAAGTCAGGTTTCTTGTATTTGAGAATTATAGGCTTTTTGACCCTTATAATGCAAATTTTGAAACTACATACCGATTTAAGTTTTTTGGCAAACTATTTATCAATATAATGCGAAGAGACGCACCTTGGTGGTGCGCATTAAGAAGCACATGGATAAGAGCCATGTCCTACGTGACGACAGCTAGAGACGCACATGTCACTGCACCGCGTCTAAAACTCGCATAGAAGGGAGGCACATCTCTAGCAAAGATGCACACCAATGTCTGTTGCGTCTAGACACTTATGAATTTTTGAATTTTCAATCTAAAACACAAACACGCAGAAATAACTACCGCGCCACAACCTCATCAAGTAAGTTAGAGAAGTGTGATAGGAAAAAAGAAAGAAAGATTGATAGGGACATGCACTGAGTGGTGTTACACTGTGGGCACTCGCACTCACCCACACCCGCGCAACGAGGGCAATGCAGGGCCTGGAACCAGAATGGTTTGATGTGCTCCCCCACAAATGTAGGAACCTATGTAGGGTTACTGTAGTGACGTGATAGTATTACCTCACTATAATGAAGAGCTATGGTATTGTCCATTTTATTACCTCACTTCAATCGACAGAAGAGTAAGAGTTTTACAAGAAATTCCTAGCCCATAAAGCTGGTGTTTATTCTCTTTCCTTCTCCCCAAACACTCTAGACGCGATGGTTTTTGTGCGCGTCTTTGCTAGAGACGCGGCCCCCTTCTGTGCGTGTTTTAGACGCAGTCATGCGCGTCTCTGTTTGTCGCCACGTAGGACGTGGTTCTCACCCATGCGCGTCTTAACGTGCACTATAAGGGTGCTCGTCTTTTCACATTATATTGGTAAGTAGTTTCCCAAAAAATTTAAACCGGTATGTAATTTCAAAATTTGCATTATATAGGTCAAAATGCCCAGAATTATATGATTCTCTCTTTAAACATCATTAAGAAGAAAATTAGCAAAAATGTGCTGTCACAACTTTCTTCATCCTCAGTTTGAGTTGATGTAGTATCTGTAACTTTTGTTTGTATGTGTATTCTGTTAAAAATTTCTCTAACCTATCCTTTTCTTCTTGCAGTGAGCAGAAGTGCATTCGGAGTCAAAAATATGCTGCTGAACATGGGTTACCGATTCTGAATCATGTCTTACTTCCAAGGACAAAGGGCTTCTGCACCTGCTTGCAAGAGTTGAGGGGCTCTCTCACTGCAGGTTCTCCTGTCTGTCTTTATTTTATTTGTTTATATAATTATTCGTAAAGTATGTGACATCATTTTTATTTCTAGTTAGTCCTTGTACTCATCCAACAATTGTGCATCATCCAGTTTCTCTTTTTCTTTGATATGATTGATGGGGAAGTCTGCATCATGGTCATCTGTCTAATCCTTTTAGTATGTGCCAAGGAAATATACTTGTGATGTTACTTTGACTCCATAAACAGCCACCTTAGGACTGCATATCTTGATTTAACTTGTATGGAGTCTATTTTTAGATAAAATAACGTATACACTATACAATTTGTTGATTGCAATGAAATCAAGTTAATGGAAGGCTGAAAGTGTAACAATCATTAAATTCACATTATCATGCAACTAAGATTCTTTTAACTTTTCATTGTCAGTTTATGATTTGACCATTGGCTACAAATACCGCTGCCCATCCTTCTTGGACAATGTCTTTGGAGTTGATCCTTCTGAAGTTCATATTCATATCTGCCGCTTTCCCCTTGATTGTATCCCAAAATCTGAAGATGAAATTTCCATGTGGTTGATAGATAGATTCCGGTTTAAGGACCAGTTACTTTCCAATTTTCAATTTCAAGGTCAGTTTCCTGATCAAGCAACAGAAAGGGACCTCTGTGCTGTGAAGAGCATTTTAAATTGTGCGACAGTTATTATGTTGACAGGCACATGCATGTACTACATTTTTTCCTCTGTTTGGTTTAAACTTTATGTGTCTCTAGTCTGTGCTTATTTGGTTCCGGCCACATATTTCAATATTCGGCCCCAGCCTATTCTTGGCATTTTGAAGATGAGATCTAATTGCCACCTCTAAAATACTTGAATAGGAAGAAGGTTTTGTAAGTTTGGGATCCATGTTTGATTGTTGTTGTACTATTAGTAATGGACTTGCAATTTACATGAATCTCTCTCTTGGTTAAAAAAATTGGCCTGATTAATTTGATAGAATGATGGACAATCAAGTTTTGGCTTATAGTGATTGTGTTTCTCATTGCTTTTCTTTAGGGGCATGTTAAACAAAATTATTTTGCCACTTTGGCTCTGCCTCAGACACGATTTTTCCTTCTCTTGTAGGTTTGACATTGACATTTGTGTATATATGTTGATGGAAATCTCAGTTACCACGGTTGGTTGATTATTTTGCCCCTATTTTAATTTTTTTTTACCACTTTGCTCATCTTCCCAAATTATATACCAATCTATCTTGTTTGATTAAAGTTTGACCGACACTTGACTTGAGTAAATAAACAATTTACTCGAGTAAATGACTTACCAAGGACAAGGATTTGGTCAAACTTTGGTCAAATAAGGACAGTTTGAATGTTTGATATATAATTTAAAAAGAGGGATATATTGGTATGCAGAATGAGAATCGGAAGCAAAGTGATAAAAAAAAAAAATTAAAGCAAGGTCAAAATGATCAATCAGCCCAGTTACCAATGGTTTCATAATATGTTTTTAAACTGTTCTTGCAATTCCGTTGCAATTTCATTTCCATATAGATCCACTTTTTGGCCTGATTATGTCAAAAAGCCCTTTGATTATAAAAGCTGCAAACATAGCTAGTTGCGTGGTTGACGTATGCATTGCAAAGTATAAATGAATATAGCTAGTAACTAGTTAAAAACGGTATATCATGTAACTAGAAAGTTAGGACTATCAACTTTTGATTAAACTGATTTGAACACAATTAGTCTAAAGTCTAAACACACAAGGCCTTTTGGTGGAGTTGCATGTCTCTCCCTTCCACGTCCAAGTTTCTTGAGCAACATCTTCAAACAAACATGCTAAATTTTGGTAAATGGTACCATCGAGTTTCTGTTCCTTCTGTGTGTACCAATGGTGCATGTGCTCCTTGCGAAGGAACGGAAAAGAAAATGGCAAGAGTGAAAGGCCCATGCTCAGAGGGGTCATAACTACATATTTGTGAGATTCAGAGCCTACTTGTAATTCTACTTGAAAACTGCTTCCCTGAGCCCTGGTGTTGGAGGTTCGTTCCTCAAATGTTGTGAATTGTGAATCATACCAAACCTTCTTGAGTTTGATGTTAGACCACAAATGCTTCTTTTCTTCTTCTTCTTTTTTTCTCTTGCAAAGTAAAAGAAGTCTGCACTGAAAAAGGTTGTTATCATATTCTAAATGCAATTAAGCAGCACTCCCTCTACTCTGCTACAATACTCTCAATCTACCGAACGTGAATTAAAATAAAAAGAAAAAACTCCGTTTGTTTGAAAACGTAATAGATCAATCTGTAACACCCCGTTCTAGAACCGGTTTGTTAACATCGCATTATGATATTAAGCGCAGTTACAATCACATTGGCTCAATTAAAAATCCGGATAAATTTTTCTTTTTAAAACAACGCCGAATTTAAAATATCCAATTGTGTGATCATAACCATATTACTTTGCGGAATCAGATAAACCAAGCTTAACATCATGTTCTTATTCCATTTTTAAACCATTAATTTACTTCTTATTTATTTCCCAACTTCTACTATGTTGTAGATCTCTTCGTTAGCTACTCGTGGTTTCAAACCGCTCCTCATTTGGAGCCCTGTAGCTCAAGTTATGACAATTTTACTAACTTAGGTGTATGCTGAAAAACTACGCGGGCAGGGCGCTTAAGCGCGCTCCAGGGAGCTTAAGCGCCCACAGACAGAGGGAATTTACATTTTTAGCCACCAAGGGCGCTTAAGCTCGCTCCAGGGCGCTTAAGCGCGCTACCTGGGCGCTTAAGCCCCCATTTTGGGCGCTAAAGCCCCAGGCGGCAGAAAGCTTTTGGTCTTCACAGGTGCATCAGGGCGCTTAAGCCCCCTCCTGGGCGCTTAAGCCCCCTGAGCAGGCTTAAGCCTCCATTTGCAGGCTTAAGCCCCCTCTTCTGGGCAATTTCCTATACTCATATTTTTCATGTATCTTTCTTGGGGAATCAATCCTACACATTTTACAACCTATTTAACAAGCTTGTGATATCCCTATATCATTGCTTAACTCTCATCCTCTCATCATTGATTTAACGGAAATTGGGCAGCATAACCTTTGTTTTCTCAACGTTTCCCAACTTAGCACAAGGTACCTAATTGACTTTCCAGCTCAACATATCCAATACATAAAAATACATTCATGCATTTAACTTACAGTAAGCATCATACACCAATATCTTCATTACTTACAATATTACATCATGTCTTAATTACAAATCTCATATACATGCCAAAGGACTTAGCTACAACATGAACATGATCAAAGCAAGTAACCCTGTATCAGATACCCATTACTACTACAATGATCATGCACTAAGTCCTCCAAAATACATCATGTGGCATCAAAATATACATATAGCAATGCTAAATGGCATGCAACTCAACATGTCCAGCTATCAGGTACAGTCTACTCACGCTTCTTGCCTCGATCAACCTCACCTCTATCAGTACCTGAAATGATGCCCCACAACACGGGGTGAGGTATACGAATATATCACAGTAAACCAGAGGTCCTTGGAGATCACTCCACCCTAAGGTTCACTTTGATGTACACATAATCATAATAGCTTAACACATTCTTATCAGCAAGCATCACATGGACTTCCAAGAGAGATCCACTAAGGGCTGTTTCTCTTAGGCTCTTACCACATGGAGATCCACATGGGGCTGTTTCCAAGGGAAGTCCTTTCCTCAATCTATTCAAAGAGAGATCCTCAAAGGGCTGTTTCTCTTAGGCTCTTACCACATGGAGATCCACCTAGGGCTGTTTCCAAGGGAAGTCCTTTCCTCAATCTAGGAACCTCCAAGAGGGATCCACATAGGGCTGTTCCTCTTAGGCTCTAACCACATGGAGATCCACATAGGGCTGTTTCCAAGGGAAGTTCCTACCAATCATCCTCATCATAATACTATCACTCATAACCTCAATCACAATCCTCAACCATTACCTCATTCATTATTGCTACTTCTATAATCATTCCTCAATTACTCTTAAACAATCAAACATCAACCAATAATCATCAATCAATCATAACATGTATCAATGCATGAATCAATGCATGAGCATACAATCACTATCATAATTACATATCACATCTCATAAACCATTTCTCCTCAACGGAGTATGGTGGAACACTCAATGGGATCAACCACAAGGTCCAAAGGTTTACCTTGCTCTTTGAGCTTTCCTCAATTGCACACAACCCCAAGGGTTGGTCACTCCACTTGGTCCTCTTGCCTCAATCCTATCAACACAAGGAATACAATCAAACAATGCTAACAATGCAAGGAAATCCATAGTTCCAAGCCTAGATTTCTCCAAACATCAAAGCATACTAAAATAACACTATAAACTCATTTCTACCGATTAAATGTCATTCCTAGCATTTTTCACAACATACTCTAAGCCTCATTCTTCCTTGAACATAGCCAATCTACTCAACATTTCATAAAAACCCTAAAACACTATTCATTAACCCTAAACTCATGCAAATCTCCAAGAATCATGTGAAAGAGAGTGGAAACTTACCACCAATGATCACACAATAGAGGAATGAGTGTTCCTCAAGCTTCCATGGAGGTAGAAACTCCCAAAACCCCACACTTCTCAAAAGGGGCGAATCTTTGGGGACCAATATCTCTCTCCACAAGGACTCCCACTCAAAACCAAGCTAGGATTATGAAAGAGGGGAAGATTTAGAGTAGTTTAGGCTTTTGAATCACCCAAAACGGTTGGGATTTGCTCCCACTAGGTTTTCCCTCCTTCTTCCTCTCTTCTCCCTCTCTTCTCTTCTCCTCCTTTCTGTTTGCTGTCGACGGGCCATGGGGGGAAAATGGGTTCTTCTTTGTTCTTTAGTCACTTAACATAGGTTAAGTGACTTTAAGCGGGTATTGGTTCGTCTATCTATTCAACTCCATTAATTACCAAACTTTACCCAAAAGTCTGGAATATTATTCTAGGAATATTACTATTTTTATTTTTATATTTTGGGTACTTTCGCCAGTACCCATTTATACCCCTTAATTTTCACTGAGTACACTTTTTAACTCTAAGTGACTCAGATTCATTTAATTAAGTCTTTTACTTAATTTTACTCACTAAAACATGCTTAATTATTTAATTAAAATTAATCAATTAAATGCTTAAGTTTGGGATATTATACAATCAGAGCTGCTTCTTTTTTAAATGCATTTGTCTGAAGGTAATGTACACTATATGTATTCTAGGTTCTTGGTTGTTTTAGGCTTTTAACTATGGGAGATAAGTTATTAATATTATGTTAAAGGAGATAAGTTATCTTATGTAATAGAGACAAACCTGTGAACCTCACTATTTGTGAAAAATAAAATTAAAAAATTTATGGGACTCAACTTTTTTTTTCTTTCTTGGTCAAATTTATTTTCCGTGGACGAATATGCGTTTATAGAAGGGAATTTTCGCGATAGTGAATAGAAGATTATCATTATTGAAGGATCATGTTATTCATCTTTGTTTTTTTTTGGAGACATGATCATGTCATTCATTGAACGCGACATTTCTCCTCTCGTGATTAATGATACCCGCCTAATTTGCCATCCATTTTCAATCCTGATGATCAACCACCAACTTCCATGTTACTTCCCTTTCTTTTCCCACTTGCTAAGTTTTTTACACATGGGAAGAAAGTCTTAACTCATAAGAAACTGGCCTAGACTCTCTATATATGCTGCTCTTTCAACTTTCAAGAGTTCCTTACAGGCAAAGTTTATCCACATTTGACAATAATTAATGCATTTATGAAGATAACATGTACAATTTTATATTCTTTTGTATATACCTCTATGTATTTTTATATAAATTTAATTCTATATGCATATATACTAATACAACATATAAATAATGAAATACTATCGTCTGTGAAATTACTCCAACAACGAGCTCTTTAAAAGAAAAATGTTTGAAATTATAAAAAATATGTACATAGTTAATCTAGGTAAAATTAAAAAAAAAAATACATATTAAAAAAAATTAAAATTATGAAAAAATATTCTCCAACAATTAAACAGTTACAGGGTGGCAAAGAAATAAGACTGTCTTTCAATTGTGGGGATGCTTTATGATTCTCTGCAGAACAACAGTCCTTGCCCTCCTAATGTCACGGCTACACATATCAGCTTGAACTCCTAAATCTTCAACATTCTTCATAAACAATCCCAGCTTCTTTTTGATTTCCTCTATGGCAACCTTCACAGCTTCTTCTTCAATGGCAAAATCCACAGTATGCAATAGGGATTCAATCTCAATTTCCAAACGATCAATGAGAACACGGATATTGTCCAAGTCCTTTATAGCAACATATGTACCAGCCTGCATTGAGCTTATTACTTCCTTCTGTCCTTTCAATGCATTTTCATAGTTCCTCCAAAGGGAATCAATCCACTTTCCCATTGAACCAATTGGGATTGAGGTAGCAGCAGCTATAGCAGCAGCAACAGGTGGAGCTGCAATAGCTGCTGCTACAACTGAGCATATCAAAACAGCAGCAAATGTAGCTACAAATATCATACTTGATACCTTCCTCCAAGAATGGATGTATTTCAGTTTCTTATCAAGCTTGTTCTTCCTAAGTTGCAACTTCTCAAGCATGAGCATCTGCTGCTTATAAACAGATTGAAAGATTTGGAAGAATTCTTCAGTGAAAGGGTCACCAGCTGACTTGAAATTCTTCAATTCTTGTAATGTCCTCACATATCGATTGTCTCCCAACTCTGATTCTTCCTCAAACTGTTGAATAGCCACAAGGATAAGCAACTGGCTATCCCGAGTTCTCTTTAAGCACTTCTCCAATGCAGTGCAGAAATCTAGAGTTTGCAAACTGTTCTCAAAGTATTCCTCAACAAGTTCAAACAGTTCTTGGCTCTTCCATATATCTTTCTTGCAATCCAAGATTACCTTGACAACTTCCTGATTCATCTCTAGAAGACATTCGGTGACTTGTTTTAGAGAATCAAATGAAAGGGCTCGAACTTCAACACCAACAGCAAGGGTATTGATAACCTGATTTGTTCGAGCTTGAAGTGTGGTGTCAAAGGACTGCAAATCAGTATCAACCTTACATGCAGCTTCATACGAACTCAGCTCATTCTTGTAGTGCAATTCGGTACTGAGGTTAATAGCAGACGAAGTTTCAGGGGTCTTCTTGCTCATATGGCCTCCCATTGCTTCAATTGAAATGATCTAATAATAATAATAAAAAAGGCAGAACCAATTTCAAAATTCAGAACCCTTAATTGATTCCTTGCCCTAGCAATAAAGTGAATGAAAACCCAACTTATGATATTCGATGCAATTTCCAGAGAACAATGAGAGAAAATTGATAAAAATTAAATCTCAACCCAGTTAAAATATTACAAACTACTTATACAAACCAAATGAATGCTATCTCAAAGAATTGCAAACAATAGAAACATTATCATCCAAGTCACCACAAACAAGCAAAAGATCTTGAGATTATGAAACAGACCCAGATAGAGATTTATGAAAAGTTCAAACCTTTGAAAGCGATTGAAGAAGATAACGAATCCCGGACAACGACAATGAAAATCGATCGCGCTAATTTGGATGGGTATTTTTTTGTTCTGTTTGTTGTTGTGTAAAATATGAGAGAAAAAGTGAGATAAAGGAAAGAACTTGAGGTGGAAGGGGAATGCAGAATCTTAAAGAGAAATATAGCTGTCAATAGCCAAGAAATGTGGGTGGGTTTGAGATTTGAGAATGGCTTGCACGCATGAGAAAAATGAGGTATTGAAGATGGAAAACGCGGGAAGCAATGACCCTTCTCTCTCTCTCTTAAAAACCCCCCATTCTTTGTGTCCCCAAACCTCTTATCTCATCCCCGTTTACACTGCACAGTGCACAATTTTAACGCGCAAAGCAACAACGATTACCAAACAGAACAAGTTACTACAAAACAACCTCAGGTCAACAACTAGAAGCACAACCTTCAGCTTTTAACGACTCCTTAACCACACTTCACATTACACATTCACTGAAAGTTGAAATTTTGGGTTCTTTCTGTGACTTCTTTAACAAGTTTCCAATGGGATAAAGCCACCTCAAAACACGGACTTCTGCCGCAACTTTTCTCTCCATTTTTCATTTATGTCCAAATAATAAGAAAAAAATTAGGGTATGTTTGGAAGAAATTTTATTTTGGGTTTGATGGGAAGTGTGGATGGATATTAAAAATATCACGTTTGGTTCAAGTTTTTTTAAAAAATACTAGACAAATAGAATTGTTGGAAAATGACTTTAGTGTTGATTTTTGGATAAAATTCACTGTTACAAAATATCACTTGAGATATGATATTTTGAGATAACTGGAGAATTGGAAAACCAGGTGTGAAGTTCTCTTCTATCAAATGTACCATTAGAGTAAAGTAAATTTTGGTTTATAACAAAAAAACACGAATTTAATCTCTTAGAAAGACAAAAAAAAATTGGTATGTATTTATTTTGAAATTCAAAATAGATTCATATTAGTCATTTTGAGATAATAATGTGGGTCTTCTTTGAACTTCAGAAAAATATAATTTTGACTAACTGAGTCTATTTTAAATTTTAAAAGTATCACAAGTCAATTTTTTTTCTTCTAAAAAATTAAAATAAATCCCTTAATTTTTATTAAAGAACTACTTCACACACACACACACACAAATTATAAGAAGAACATAGCTTTAAACTTATGCACCCGTTTTGTTGCTACCGAAACGATATAAACTTGAGGTCAATATCTAACTTGAAAGGATAACGTTAAATATGTTAGCAACACTTTAACACGTGTTTTTATAATTAACTTCCCCATAGTTATTTTCTATCCAAAATGAGAAAAATACCATGTTCAACCTTTTAATCCCACGTTAGTAGTAGTAACAATGTACGATTGACGTTATATCATTAAATTATATCCAACAAAAGTGTACAATTTTATTAATTAAGGTAAATTGATCAGGACATACTTTTGGACTGCATAGTTTTAGGTAGAAAAACTTGTTCAAAGCATATTGAAATTCCGTTATTAGAGACTAGAATAATAGGTAATAATTGGACTGAAAATTCATTAGCAAAGTTTAATCATTAATAATTAATGATTAAAGACATGGAAGCACGCACTCAATTTTTAAAATATTTATTCAGAAGAAGAAAGCAAGAGATGGCAAGGTAGAGAGGTTACCCTCCTTATGTTATGTGTATAGCTTGTGGAAATAAGAAATCAGAGTTTAATCAAAATCGTCAAGTCATGTTTGTGTATAAACAGGTCATGTACGCGTGCTCCGACCCACTTTTTTAAAAATAAAAATATAAGTATGGGGCCTTCTCGTACTGACACGTAACCTTGAGTAACACGTGTTGTCAACTTAATGGTTGCCACCACAATGACAATCAAAAACAGATTCCACGCTACGTCAAACTCTTCTTAAGCTCACGTGATTTCTCGTTCGAGCCACAACACAAAGACAATAATTGGAAACTAATGATGAATATATATTGATGTTCACACTTCAATCTTTAATCTTTATCTTAATTCATGTTGGGAAGGGTTTTTGTGGCGGCCTTGGGTATTTAATGGGTTGGCTTATTTTAAAAATATGTCAAAGATGCTTTGAATCTAAGCTTGGAAGATAGGAAAAAAAAATGTATAAAGAAAAAACGATCTCAATAAAAGTTTTCGAGCACGTAAATTCTTCCCCCGTTCACAACTTGTCTTTATTTTCTTTCTTCCATGTCAAACTCTCATCTTATACAACTTTGACTTTCCTAACCTTATTTTTGATCAAATCCGATGATGAATGAGGAAACTTAATTACTATAACCATGTACAAGGAATGGATGAAAACGGTCATTGATAAATTGACCAAATTTATCTAACCAAATACCCGTGTTTTTTAGTTTCTTTATAGTTTGTTACGTAGCAAGATTATATTATGTTAATTGGCAAGAGGATGGACCAAACTTTGGAATCTCCTTTTCGTCTTAACTTATTTTTGTCTTCATTCTTTGCCACGTAATTAACCTGATCTCTTCAGTGAATTCTACATGTGACTATCATATATGAAGAGAACCTAGTTTTTGGACACCCGTTGGAGAAGCCTTTCGTTTTGCCCCTTGACTCATATTACTTTGACCTTTTGGGTTGCACTTGTACATAGAACTAGTTTTAGTTAATGAAGATAAAATAAGAAATGAGAGGCTTGAATATGTATTTTCCATAAGATTTGGAGATAAATTTAATATATCTTGATTTTTCTAAAAATATGTTCCAAGATTTGAAATCGTTGCTATTAATCTCATTAACTCATAGTCTCGATCTTGTCTACTATGGATGTTGATTGTTATGTGGTCCTGTAACCTTATAAGCTCACAAGTTTCACTTTTGTAGTGTAATGAAACATGAGTGGTCCATTAATTCATTATAGAAAAGCATTTATATCCGTCACTAAAACTACTAAAAAACATTAATTAAGCTTACCCACACAAATAATGAGTTAAATGGTTGGCTTCTTTAACTTGAAAGTCATTTTTTTTTTGTTTAATCCAATTTTGATAAGTATTATTTGTTTGCTTGATATTGTTGATTTTTTTTTTATATTTTATAATTAACAATGAGGAAATTCCATTCACTAGGTTATGGTTAGTCATATCTTTATTTATTGTACAAGTTGAGTGTGTGCTTTATTATTGACCATTTTGATGAATGATTTGATATTGAATTTTAAAGTGTTAAAAATGTATGGGTGAAAGAAATTGCTAGTTTGATGGACTGGCAAGATTAGACCCACTAGTTGATGCAAGGCAAGTCAAGCTGCTTATTTTGACATGTTTAGAGCTCGTTTGTATTGAATTGTTAAAAAAAAAATTTTTATGACTTCTTTATTTTAAAAGTATTTATTATAAAAATTACAGTTATTTAGATTTTTTAAAAATATTTGATTTTTGAAAAAAAATATTTGACTTGATTTCTGCTTTTTTAAAAAGTTGAAATTTTTAACTTCTGAAAAAAAAGTAAGTTTTTGACTTTTTTTACGATTTCTACTTTTTAAAAAAGCAGACATCTAAATAAACTTGTTTTTAAAGTATTTTTTTCTCTTAAAAAAAGTCCATTGAAACGGACCCTGAATGTTATTCATTTTGCATCGGTTGATTTAACGTTATAACTATCAAGTGTCCTGTCAGGCTTAAATGTGAACGTTTCACCAACTTGACACCCCCATCTCTCACTATTGTGGCTGTAGAGATTTTCTCAATATATTTTGTATCATTTATTATACTTCTGTTTCTTTTTCTATATAGGATCATTCTTTCTTTTAACGTTATTTTTCAACAAACGCACTTAACAACACAATAATAAAACCCAAAAATGTTTGCACCAGAAAGTTTAAAAAAAAAAATATATTATTATCATATCATATTATGCAGAGTGATATTTACATTTCTTATTCACAATTCGTGTCGTTTCCTATGTACTACGAATTACCCCATATGGGAATCTAATGCTATTCACACTTCACATGCCACTATTGCACATAATCAGACACTATACACCTAATTTATTATCCTTATATATACATTAAACAACTAAAAACCTCTCATATTACCGCTAGAATCCAATTCCTTTAAAGCACCAAACGCTTGCCCGTGATACAATGGCCCCTTGTATATTGCCAATCAGCCAGCAACACATAGTCACGAGAGCTCTATATGAACAATATAATATCAATATCATAATTAACTCTCTCAATAAGTTCACTATCTATATATATGACTATATATAGTTCTCTCCTCATGACAATGCAGTGGAACTAAGAGTGAAGTTTGAGGAGATCATATATAGATATCAATATCATATATATAGAGAGGATCATGGAGGCCTACAAGAAGCTTATGATTGTTGGGATGTTATTGGTCATTGCCATGATTGGGTCAAAGCCCATATTGGCCAATGGCCAATCCTTTTGCCATATGTCCAAAGAAGGGTTTAAGGCATGCATGCCCTCTGTGAGTGGTGAGAATCCTGTTGATCCTCCAACCTCTGCTTGTTGCTCAGCAATTGCAAAGGCTGATCTTAAATGCTTGTGTCGTTACAAGGATTCAGGATTGCTTACTTTCTATGGTGTTGATCCCAATGAAGCCATGCAACTCCCTGTTAAGTGCAAGCTTGTGGACTCCTTCAGCTGCTAGACTAGCTTAGCTAGCTAGTCGTGCATGTGTCACAGGAGGCACTAATTAATTATGTAATCTCTGATTTGTTTGCTCTTGGTTATGTTTTTTATTTTCCAATGTGTTTGTTGCCAATGTTGTCGATCATGACATGCTTGTTTATTGTTGGTAATATGTTTGTTTCGCTATTTTCTTTAGTTTGGTTGATTCATGTACATGTTCATTCTGGTTTGCAGTGACGTTCTTGTCAATTTCTTTCCTATTAAAAAGTTGTTCATTTTATTGGAAAATAACTCAAAAGAGATTTTTTTTTTTTTTTTTTTGTACAAGTAGAAGTTTAAGTAAGATTAGACACCGATATCTCACTAGGAGTCAGGGAAGACCCCCAACCTCAAAAGAGATCTTTATATTAGTGTATTAAGTATACGGACCGTATTCTATTAAAAAAAAAATCTCAAAATACAAAACAGTATCCTAAAAAACAGATAATTTCTTTGCAGCAACAAGAGACTAACAGATGATCGAATCATAAGTTGGCGTAAGAATGTTATGAAAACGACGTCACAAAAAACAAAAATAAACCCTGCTAGACATATCGTGGGCCTGTTCGACCAACTACACGAAATTTCCCAAAAATGAAAAATGAAAATGAAAAATAAAATAAAAATGAAAACGATATCACTTGAAATAATACACAAGATTGTATATGATTGTCTATATCATGGATTGTCCCTAGTGACAAAGAACTCACCTCGTTACAAAAGCAAGAATTAAATTAGGATTGACATAAAAAAAGTAAATGTCTTTTTAAAAGTAATGAGTCCCACATTACTTTTACATATTCTTTTTCATAATTTTATATAAAAAATTATTTTTTAATTTTAAATGTACCTTTTTTTTTGTTAAAATTATTTTTCAATACATCCAAAAATAAAATAGTTTTAATTTTTTAAAAATAGTGCATAAAACAAATTTTGTCTTACTGATAAATCAAACTTTTTTTTTTAAATCAAGTTTACTGCATTCCCTATTTATTCAGCTTACCTTAAACTTTAAAATTTTCTTCAGCCTAAATTAATGTCGAATCATGAATTAATTTAATAGTTTATGTTTGAATTTATAACTAATAAAAAATATTTTTTTGACTTATATTTAGTTAGTTATAAAATATTTGAATCAGACAAAGTAAAATCAAGTATTAACATAGATTAATATTAAGAATAACTATATATATATATGTTGTATTGAATCGGTTCATAAGTTAATGAGTAGAATAAATAAGAATGCAAATGAACTTATTTGTTAAATAAGTTAACTTTTTAATTCATTGAATTGCTAAAGGGTTGATTTGGCTGGTTACCAAAAAAAAAAAAAAAAAGGATGATTTGGCTCACTACAAACTCTTGTTTATACGACACGCTATTTAAAAAAAAAAATTATTGGTAAATTACTTGTAATATTTATTTGAAAAACGTTCTAACTTTTAATATCGGGATGAATTAGTATATATTATTACATAGCTTTAATTCTTATATCTATATAAAAGTTGAAATTTGCTTTTATAAAAGAGGTAAAAGTTACATACTTTCAATACTATATGTTACCAAATGTTTTTGTTATTTTAAAGAATAGTCAATTTAGTTTAAAATATTATTTTTTATTCAATATTTAAATTAAAAAAAATTCAATTTTCTTCTATCATGATTTATGTTTCTCTCAATATAAAACATAATTCTGTGTTTTTTAAAAGAACAAACAGTAATCCCTTTATATTTGAAATATAAAATTGGCATTTTGAATTTTAAAACACATATAAATAAAAGTTTCGATCATCTTAATTATTTATCTGTTTACATTTTTTACTAATTACATTTAATTCAACTATAATAAAAATTATTTTAGTGGACAAATATAGGGATGGCAACCGACCCACCAAAAAGTGACCCAACCCATTTCATCAGGTCGAATCTATTTTATACTAAAAAAATAAAAATATCTCAACCAACCGGGTTGGCGGGCAGGGCTGGTTGAATAATTTGGTCCACTGAGGTAAATGCCGCCTCTGAACAAATAATAAAAATGAAATAGAATAAGTTGTTTTTTTTTTTTTTTTTTGGGGGGGGGGGGGGGGGGGGGGGGGGGGGGTGGGGGATAAAGTCTAAGGACAAAAGAGTAAAATACAAAAATAAGTATTAGCCATTAGGGTTTTTCTCTGTGAGTGCGTCGCTTCTTGAACCCAACATTTGTGTATATATATTTACATACAAAGAAGGTAAACCCTAACCATGGAGTTTCCTTCTTCTTAGCTATTCGCACTTGGCGGAAGCAGCAGCTGCAGAGGTTTTGTTTCTCAATTTTTATATTGTTTTTCAATTCAAATAATTATTATTGATTTATTCATTATTGTTGGGTTTTGTATGGGCCTTCATAATCCCAGATAAGCTTGAGGATTATTAATGATCTCAATCAAGTGCTTATGCTGATTCATGGGAGGCCAAAAGTAAAATGTTGCAAGTTTCGCTGATAAATGCCTTTCTCTGATTTTTACTATATCAAAGGCCTTTACTAGTAACTTTGCAATACACCCTTCACTTTTTATAGTTACTCTTTCATATACTAATTTTTCATTTCACTTTGTGTCACTTAATTTTATATTTCGTCATCTCTATCCAAATCCAAAATGCTTGCTGATTAAAATTAAATTATAAAAAAAAAAAAGTTAGCAAATATTTTCTAGATTCTAGAATGTCATTTAAATTGAAAACTCAAACCCTGGTTATTGAGATAGAATTAAGATTTAGTGTTGTTAATGGCAGGTTTGTGTGTTGTGCTCCAAGATGGAGTTTTGCCCAACTTGCGGTAACATGCTGCAATATGAATTGCCCAACATGGGTCGCCCTTCAAGATTTTTTTGTCCTACTTGTCCATATGTTTACTACATCAAGACCAAAGTAGGGATTTCAATCCATTCTATGTTTCCTTTTTAATATGTTTTTTATGTGCTTGTCTTGTGCTTGGTTTTTTATATTTTCATTTTTGCAGATTAAGAAAAAGAAAAAACAGCAGTCGGTCAAAAAAGATATAGAGCCTGTTATCTCTCATGATGACATGAAGAATGCACCCACTGCCGAGGGTATATTTGTTTGTTTGTTTATTTATTTATTTATTCTTCAGTTAGAAATTATCTTTGGGAGAATTACAATTTAGGATGTCCCGGTAAACATATTCAGAATTCAGGATACATTAAGCAGTGGAGTGGTAGATCAAGTCAACCTATTATCTATCTTTGAATGTTGCTAAGCACTCTCTTGTTCAATCATCCTAATTATAAATATGTTCATCGGGACATTTTGAATTGTAATCGTCCCTTTACTTTGTTGTTCCTCTCTTTGTGGGCTTATTTACTAGGATAATCAATAGCAATTTTGGTTATTTCTGAAAAAATATCATCTGTGTGAACTAAATCGTTGGAGATTATATGATGTGTTAGTATTAGTAATTCCAATATAATTGAGCTATGAAAATAAATTTGGGAATAACACTCTTATTAACTAAGGACCTTCTCTTGTGTTGAATGTGGTCCAAAGCAAAGAGATGAGTAAGCAGAGAGAAATAAGAGTCAGAAAACACTTGCATAAGGGTCTTTAGTTTTCTTGGCACCTAGTATAGTTTGGAGGTTTAATTCTCAAAATGTGAAGCAAAATCTAAGCCAGCAATAAAATCCTCTATAGCACTTTTTTGTGCTGATATGACAGGTCTGAGGATGATGCGTCTCAATGCAATAAACATAAACATAACCCATTAGCGAGTGTAGGGATGAGGGCAATTTCTGTAAACAACCGTACCCTTTTATATTTGCAAATAGGCTGTTTTTCGGATTCGAACCCGTCACCTTTCGGTTACGATGAAGCAGCTTTCCTGATACTTATATATGATATATCTTAAATTATTTGAGTTTCAAGAAGTAGGGAAGTTGAAGCTGTGGTCTGGTTTTTCAAATTTGAACATGGACGAACCAATCTCATGTAATTCACCAGATTGCTGAATCTTACTTATCACATTATGTTCGGTTATGTCAATTTGCATATTTCAGTTTGGCTTCAACACCTAGATAGGAACTTTTTAATTTTGTTTTCCTTACATTAAGTTTGAATTGAAGTTCATCATGGACATTATGATTTACTTCTCCATTTATTGGGTTTTAGTTGGTTCGAAAGTTTGAGAACATTTTCATTCTTTGGATTTTGAATTAATGGGTCTTCTTTGACCTCATTGGCAAATATAATTGTTTGCTTTATTGGGAAATAATCATATGAATTAGAGACTAGTACCTCACACAGTAATAATGATTAGCAAACTCCCCCTTTTGAAAAAGGATTATGTCATGCTTCTATGTTCTTTCTTTATCGTCAATTCCTTTCTTCTTTCTTCCTTTTTCTCACTCCATCCCTTTTATTGTAGTGCCATGCCCAAGATGCGATCATGATAAAGCTGCTTACACAGAATTTCAAACTCGATCAGCTGATGAGCCGGCAACTATATTTTACTTGTGCTTGAATGAAAAGTGTAGGCACCAATGGCGTGATTGACTTCATACTCTTGCAATATGTTTTTGCATCAGCTAAAGATAGAGAAGCTTTTCAAGCAGTTTCTAATGAGGATTACATGTGTTATTAATGTTAGTTTAATGGTTATGCGTATACATCTCATGCCTATTTCACTTTAACTTTTTGGGACTGTGGAATGATGGCTGTGTTGCGCAAATCTCGAACAATGAGGAATCGTAATTAGCAAAACCACCAATTGTTTCAACAAATTGTCCTTCTTTATGCAGTTACAGCAAGTGGGTTCATCAAGACACTCAAAGAAATTACACTTATCTGTTCTGAAGTTAGGGCATCCAAAGAACTTCCTTCCTGGATTCCTCATTGTCTGAGATTTGTGAAACACAGCTCGCCCTCATTCCACAGTCGCAAAGTATTTTAGTAGATAAATAGGAAAGTTTAAGTAAAAATTGTATATTAGGATGAAGAACAGATCACAGATTTATGAAGCATGAGTCTTATATTTAATTTTTGCTATGAAATGTAACATGTATCCAAAAGTATTTCAGTATATAAAATTATATCCTGTCTCGTGCCTATTTGAACTTTGTAAAGTGGCAACCGCAAACAAGGAAAAAGAAGCATAGAAAAAAGACATCTAGAGGTGGTAACGAAGGTGGCTTGCTATTAACACGCCTACAAACGAGCAAGCACGCTCTGCTTTGCTTTTGATAATGAGCTGAGAAAGCTAGCCCGTCTATTGCTTTTATATAATGAGTAATTTTTTATTAAAAGAACCCATAATGATAAAATTTGTACGAAAAGTGTATCATTTATGTAATAAACTAATTGTTGTAAAACACATTTTACATGGTGGATGACTACCTTAATTAGGGGTTATTAGGTGCCATTATATGGCTTTGTGGTTACAATTGTTAGCATTCGTAAATAATGGTGTATTAAACTACATTATGTACATTTGTAACCCTTTTTATCCTTCTTCCCTATATATAGAGATGTATTCTGATCAAGAAAATAGTAGAAAAAAGAAGAAAAGAATAATTCCTGAAGAATTATATTTTGATAATTTCTGTTGTCTTAATCTCTCTCAAAATCTCTCTTCCCTTTCACCTTCTCTTTATTTTTTTCTCTATTTTTATAACACTATTTTTTTAGTACACATTTCATATTTTTTTCATAGTACATATTTCATATGTTTTTTAATTATTGAATAATTAGTGCTTGATTAAATAAGTGATGAAGATTGAGAGCATGTATAAAATATTCATCGTAAGTGTAACTGGACCCATCGCGAAGTAACTGAACCTATTTTGCCACCTTTACATATAACAGAACATTGGCCCTGTGCATTTAGGGCAGGCAAAATCTTAGAACTGTTTATGAACTTGGCCAAGAAAGTATAGTTACTAGATCATTTGTTGAAGTACTCGGCTACTTTACCCGCATCATTAGGATAACACGTTATTTTTTGGTAATTAGGATTTTTAAAAAAAAAAACAGAATTTAGTCATCTCTGAGGTGTGGCCGTGTGGGGTAAGAAAAAAAATAAAATTCACCAGAAAATTTATATATTACATGTTACACTTATGAATACTTCAAATATAAATTTACATAATAATAAATTACAGTGTAAAAATTAATCTAACTTCTCATGTAAATTCAAAGTGTTGACAAATTATAATAATAAAGACCAGTACTGATTTAAAAAATATATTATTTAATATAAATAAATATGCAAATTCAAAAGTATTTAATTTTATAAACTAAATCAAATAAGATTTATTTTTTAAGCCTAATATTCCCCCCTCTTTAATTTTGTTACACTTAATTGTCGTGAAACATTATATATAATTAACTTTAAAGTCTGAAAATTTTATTTAAAGTGAATTTGTCTAAAAATGTACAGGAGGAAGAGGAACGCTAGCAATACTCTTTGACATACTCTTAATTATTAAATGAGTTTCGTTAAATAATCTGGCCCCACACTCTATTTAGTAAAGTTCACTGAATAAAACTTGTCCTGAGAAGAATGTCAAAAAATATATTGCTAATATTTCTAAGCGTTTAAATTTTAATAAGTCATCATGATGTACATATACCTCAAAATAAATCTCTTCCTTGCAAGTTGGGTATCGTTAAAGTGAATTAACTCCAAACTTAAATCTAAACTGCAGATTTTTTAACCCTATTAGAGCAAACAAGTAAAAATAGTTTATTCGCAAATCGCCAAGACTAGTAAGTACTCTTTTACATAAATCAATGTCTCCAAAATCCAAATTTTAACCTGCTTAGGACGTCCTTGCAAAAGAAAGTTATGCCACTTATTTTGTTAGAAGCTAATTCTTCGTTCCCACTATACCAAAGATAACAAAACTTGTAACATGTTTAATATGAAAAAAAAATATTTATCCTTGAACGGTTCTTTCAATTAAAATTATTCCACAACTTCTTTTCCTCTCATCATAAAACAACACAATGATTTTGACTAAAAACACAATTTTATATCTTTAAAAAGACAAGTATATGTCCAATATGTTATTTGTGAAGCGGAAACCCCTAACCCTTTCGCGGTAAGCAAAACTTGTAGTCGAATATTACCAGCATCAAAGATATGCCAAGCAAGGAGACTTGCCGTATGACAAAAAATAGTATGATGTTAAACTGTAAGGCCAACAGAAATAAGAAAAGTAACGCATATATAATCAATTAGAAACATAAGTTTTTATCATTGCCTAATCAAAATTTTCTATCTCAAAATAAGTCCAACCCTCATGCTACAAACTACAGTATCTTCATTCAAAGGTTTACATCTACTTGCTGTACAGATGAACAGCAGTGAAGACGAAGAAACCTGCCATCTGCATCAAAATCAAAAAGGTTATATTACCTAAAAGTCATGAAAAACTCCCAAGATCCATTCCGTGACAGAACAGAACAAAGACAGATCTAATTACAACTTCATAACTGAAAATAAGTAGGGTACAATAGCAATCTTTGCACACAATATAGCCCAATAAAACCAACTTCCATGCAAGGAAGAAGGGACTTCAACAGACAAAGGGCTATTCAGAAGTGCATCTCAACAGTTCTTAAAAGCAGACCAATGGTTAAGAAAAAAAAATGCTCTTTTTATAATATACGACCTTAAAGAAAAAAAGGATGGCCCCACCTTCTTCTCTTTTTTCTTCTTTCTTTTTTGAGTGGGACCCACATCAAATGTATTAGAGTAACATGACACTAAAAGTGTCATATAACATGACATATATAAAATCCATATATATATATATATATATATATATTGTGGGCAGGGTCCTGAGAAGCTTTAAGAAAGAAGCTAGATAGACCTTTTTTTAAGCTTTAACTCAATTGCAAAACACGAGGGGAACGAACGGGGAGGAGGGAGGGGACTGGGGATTTCAGTAAACATTATGTGCCACCAAGTCAGAATGACCAAATTCAGTTAAACACTTTAATGCAAGTTCACATTTGTAGAAGTATTAAGAGTAATGAACTTAACAAGAACTTTAATTTGCATCAATAAGAGTGATTGATGTTTGTTAAGATTGGTCAGAAATTCATTAGATGGATTAGACCAGTAAACTATCTCCAAATTTTTACACAAGCTTCAGTTTAGCCGCCTGGTGAACTAGCTAACAAGATGTGTATGCTACAGTCAAAGGTAAACCAAAACATGGCCCTCACTAACAACCTCAAACAAGTTGGCTGGGCCTATCCCTAGGAAAGATATATATGGTAACACCTTTTGTGATGCACAGTCGCACAAGCAGGTTCATCCAGAGTATCAAAGACAAAAATCACGAGATCATATTCCAATTTATAGATTATCCCTACCCAATGAGGGAGAGAGAGATCCTTACCATCGAAAATGCTGCTCCATAATATGGATAAGCTGCTGGTATAAATCTCTCGTATTCATTGTGTCTGAAGGGACGTACAGGAATCTACATGGAAAGGTCAACACTAATCATGAATACTGGTTACAATATTTTGCTTCTTAACATGTATAATTGCAATATAGTAAGAAGTTTCACAACTACAGATTGCCAAATGTTGGCATTTAACTCAATCTTGAAACAAACACTTATCCAGCAATAAAAGACGACCAGTTTAACTGCTTGCACAGTCATAGCTAATAAATAAAGCATAGCTAGGTACAACAAAAGCCAACATCTACAAAAGATAATCATTGGAAATAGAAAATTCTAAACCGATAAAGGTGCTAGTGTTTGTGTTTGTGTAAAGCTGTTAGATAATATAACGTTTGATGTGACCCTGCTCAGATACAAAGGTAAATCTAATTATGCAGAAAAGGGGTGTGAATTGTTGCAAGAAAAAAGGGGCGTTTGGGTAGAATGACTCCAAAAAATAATCGAATAAAATATTAGAGGATCAGCAATTACCTGTTTTGATAAAGATAAGCTTGTATATCCAAGTTTTTCGTACTCAACTTTGAATTGGAAAACTCCATAGACATCTGGAACCTTAAAGGATGTGAAATAACGACCCTGAAAGAGAAAAAGTAATCCCCCAAATTTCATTCAAGAGTTTATTAGAGATGAAATTAAGAGTATGGCCAAAAGGAAATTCAAAAGCACCTTGCTGTCGGTTGATAAAGTCTTCAAGACATAGGGGCTCATCATGTAAAATTGCACTTGAACATCATCAGCTACATAAGGTTCCCAAGTTGTCCCAGACCACTCAAAAATTTCAACAGAGTATTCCTGTAACAAGATTTGAGAAGTGAACCCCAGCCAAAAGTAATGCTTCAATTAAAGTAAACATTGCATACATTAGCATTGAGATAATATTTAAATTACCAAATCATCGTTGATCCTATAGATGGCTGGTTCATCAGCTTCCCCAACTTTATGGTGTTGCACATTCACCGCCTTAATGCCAAAACATGAAGCAAAAGAATATTAGTTAACAGTAATGATGCTAAATGATGATGTCAAAAATCAAATAAATGAGCAATAAAAAATGAAATTTACTGAAGCATTTTTGTTACCTTGAGGTGACCTCTTTCATGGAAAACCCATTTGCTAATTTCAGTCAAGAACTGCTCATTACCTGACTTGTCGTGTCTGTTATTCAAAAAAAAAAAAAAAAGAAAGAAAGAAAATCAATATGAACTTTGATCCGCAGCAATTACGTTTCACTAAAAATTAGATTCTACGGGGAAGAGACATACAGCCACTGTATGTTGGATGTAGTGAAAGTATTACGTGAAATAGATGATAGAAACGGTATTGTGACAGTGTGAAGAGAGAAAACAGTTATTCTAGCGGTGAACAAATTTCCGACAGAAAACAGGAAAAAGAAAAGGCTCAAGGCTTTACTCACTTAGTTGGACTCCCGGCCTTCTGCACACCAGACCTGAAAAATCTGCAGAAAAATCCATGTTTATGATAGGAAAAATTATCTCCAGAGCTCACATATTACAAAACCCTGATTAACAAGTAAGCCTTTCATACCGGTTGCTGAACATGCTCAATGAGCCAGAGATCAATATCCGAGCATTATTTCTTGCCTGCCAAAAAGAAAAGAGAGTGAAAAAGTGAGACATTGGTTCAGCATTAATCTCTACAAAAATCATGACAGCATGCAATGAACAATGAAATGCATGTAAAACATTTTATGAAAAAACAAAAAGATAAAGGTGATCATATTCTACATACTTAACAACATATATTTGGAGACAAATATACTTGTGTACTACTGCAGTAAATAATAATATTCCAAAAGGGAAGTGGATAGCTTCAAAAAGAATAAAAAAAAAATTAAGAATCAAACCTTGTATGCATATTTCAAAAACAATTGAACAAGGGCATGTTAAAAGACAATTAGAGACGTACCAAAAGAGGACAGCAAATAATACACATACTCTGGCATGAGCACACACACAATAGGACAAAATATTGAGATACCTGTATAACTGAAATTAATGAGATAGAAGATCCAGTGAGTGATGGAGGACTTGTCAACTTAGATTTTGGGTTAGCAGAAAAGGCTGACGGAGATGCCGAAAGAACTTTCAACACCTGAAATGGAACACATAAAAAAAAGGGTAAAACATGATAGGCCGATGTCAAGTAACCAAACTTAAGTTAGCTTATAAATACAATAAGGCCAGTGATGATATATGAACTAAGATAAGGAAATATTACCAGGCTATTGGAAGGATTTAATGAATGCCCAATTCCCTGGAAAAGTACTGGAGCCTGTTGCAAGTAATGAAAAAAATCAAAAAAGAATATTGTGGTGTATAAGAAGCATTTGCCAATAACATACCATGTTATTCAGAGGTTGGAGGACAAATATTCTCATAAAACATAAATGCTGTCATGGAGTACAACAATTCAAGTTCAACCCACTTCATACCCCTTTAAAACAAAAGTTAAACAAGGGAAAAGGAAATAAGCATACACAACTTCATTGACTCAAAACAGTAGCGCAAACCATAGTGCTGAAAAAGCAATGTTAATGCCTTGAACGTTTATTGTGCACAGTGCAGTTAATTAGTAAATAAACAATGAACTTGCCTCAATTTTTTTGCTTCCCAAGATCACATCAGACTTGATAAAATCATCACTAGCAATCAATGTATGATCCCCTTCGGTAGCAGAGACTGCATATCCTGAATGATCTACAACCATAGCAGCAGGATCCTAGACAAAAAATAGGACAAGACTTGAGTGTCAAAAATAACATACAAAAAATAATAGCCAAGCACATTACACCACCTATGCATAGAGTCATAGACACATAACTAGGAAATGACAACCTCACTACAAGGAAAACTAGCTATGGTAGTATAAACAAAAAGAAGGTCATATACAAAAACAAATTTGATTGTAAGCACCTCATCAAAGTCCACCCCACTCTCGGTGGCGATTTCCCGAATTAAATCAGATGCATTGTTATCAGCAGCAACAACTAAATCATGACCCGAATCAACAAAATCCAAAATTGCAGCTGCGTCAATGGATCCTCCAAAACCTGCACGTTTCGCAACAGCCATAAGCTTCCTCCAATTAAAACGAAAAAACCAACTCAAACACCCTCATTTTTAGTTAGATTAAAAATCCAAACTTTAAAACACAGATGAGCTAAAAACAACACTTCCTCGAGACCCATCAGTAAAATAGTAACAGAAATTAAGATCTCTACAAATTTTCAAAAAAAAAAAAAAAAAAAACACAGCATTTGGATGAGGGTGAAAAAGTGCAAAAACTTACGTTCGATTGTGGGGCAAAACAAAATTAAGGCATCGTAGAGGTACTGGCCGTATCTCTGAAGCGCAATCTTGGGGTCATCTGCAAGCTTGAAATCGAGATCGAAGCCACGAGATTGGAGAGACTTGAAGAAGAGAGAGTGAGAGGATTTGACGGCGAAGTCATCGAGCAAAACGAGGACTCGCCGATCTGAGGGTCTATCGAGAGAGAAGGAGCTGCAGAGTAGAGGAATGAGGGTGAGGAACACCAATATGAGCTTCGACATTTGGAAACACTAGCACACCTCTCTACTGCGACTCGCTCGCTCTGTGTGTGTATTTGTGTGTTTGTGTGTACTGTGTATGTTTCACAAAGTCTCCTCTAAAGTCTTCATCTACGACGTTATTTCATAATTTGGGTTTCTCTACCAATCAGATTTTCACCTTGTCCCACTTCATTTATGGACTTGGGCTGAATTTGGGCTACGGCCCAATATATGTAAATTATTTGGGAGTAGATCCTCTCATGTGAAAAAAATAGTCATGTGATTATGTTATTTAATCAGAACTATTCATTGGTGATGAAATAAGAGAGAGAAAAATGTATAATTTTTAAATGAGTGGTTGTGATCAAATAACATGATCGCATAACAACTTTTTCACATAAGAGGATCCATTTCCTCGCGAATGAATAATACTACATGTAAATACTCTCTTGCTATCATTTTTCCTCATTAAGTTCTACCTTGATTAAGTGAGCAATACTTTATTTTTCTGTAAATGTCTACCATCTTGACTTTGATTTGGGAGGAAATGTAGAGCTAGTTTAATTCTATTTTTTATTTTTCATTTTTTCAAAGAATTTTTTTAAAATTATTTTGCAAAATAAAAGTATAAAAAACTTATTTTGGTTTCACCTTGGAGTTTAGAGAAATAAAAGGTAAACATTTTCAAGAAAAAAAAAACATACAAACAAACAGGACCAAGTTTCTTACATCCTTGAAGTCTAGAGAATATTGCAAATCTGTTTAAAATTAAACATAAACACCAAAGGCAGATAGCTGGTTGGTAGCGGTGGGAGTTCAGCAGTGGAAACGAAATGGTTCGATTTTCATATGTCACTTCTAGGAGAGGTTTAAATATTTTTGTCCCTGATCCGCTCTCTCAAGATTAGTCTCGTAACCAGCTCGAAGAGTCAAAGTTTGTAAGGATATTAGGAAGAACCAACTTACTTCAAAGAGATAATTAAAGTCGGCTAACAAAAAGAAAATAAAAATAAATAATTAAACATAAACAAAGTCATCTGCAGAATATTTCATGTTCTCATTTAGCAGCTTCTGTTTCACTACAAGATTCCCATAGCTCTTTTGCCTGTGTACTTGGCATACATTCTCACTCATGAAACAAACCAATTACGAATCCTCTCAATCATGAGCCAGTTACTTGGCATACATTTCTTTCCACCTTGCAGGTGGTAGCCAAGTTCCAAATTTACACTAAATTTCCAATGTCAATGAACAACAATACATATGGGAAGACATTAATAATTTGTGAATCTCAATTAAATTGCCAGAGTCATAAATACATCAAAGAGCACAGAATCAACAAGTATGAACTTTGAAGTTTAAAATGTGTACATTTTTTTTTTTTTTTTAAACAAAGAAGGACAAGGTTCATGAACCTGCCCATCTTAAACCAATAATAAACAAAACATTTGAAGATGCTCATAACATTGAATGAAAATTTTGAGATGTTGGGATAGACAAAGAAAGCTGGTTTAGCAGCGCTTATTAAGGTTTTGATCACAAAAAAAAGCTAATTTTTCTGGCGTAACTTCTTCACTATTGTAGCCATGTAGCTGCCTTGATACTCTGCAAGGGCCAGCTCTGCTTCACTTGCTTGCCTTGAACCATCACCAGCAAAAACACCAGCACCATATGGAGATCCACCTCTAATGGAGTTCATTTCAAACATTCCAGCACCAAAGGTATAACCAATAGGAACATATAGCATCCCGTGGTGGGCTAACTGTGTGATTGCTGTCCAACTACAATAATTGTTATTTATAAGTCATGTTAGTTGTTGAAGGTTTATTTCCCAATCATAATACTGACTATTACAATATACATTACAATATTTGATGAAGTGACTACTATTGTTAATTAACCACTTCAATTGCCCAAACAAGTGTAAGTCAAATGGGAGTCTTTCTGTGTACCGTAACGGTAACTAATTAAATAACCACTAAACTCAATAGTAACATATGCCCTTCCAATCACTTTCTTAGAAACCAAGGGTATAAATTAACTTTATCTTTAACTCAACCTACCAAGAAATCAACACGAACAAAAAACACCAATAATAGTCACACACAAGATTTTACGTGAAAAACTCAACTGAAAAAAACTACGAGAAGAACTCTCAAAAATTCACTAAATACATTTGGAATATTACAAAAGTTTTTACTATTATTTTCTCTAACTCGCTCACATTAAAAATGCTCTAACTTGAGCTTTATCTCTAATCTCTTTCTCTAAAGCATTTGCTATTTTTTTTTTTTGGTGTGTTTAGAACTTGATCAAGCATCCTTTATACAGGCAAATTTCCATCTAGTGTGAGAGTTAATAGCTACCATAGTAACATGTTTTTCCATGTAAAAAATAAGTAGCCTACCATGACTGAAATTAATAGCCTGCTATAGTTAAAATTAAGGGTTTTATGAATGTTATGTTACATAACTTAAGTTTTGTTTCCAACACACACAATAAAAGGGATAGAGAAAGTGGAATGATGAAAGAGAAAGAAAAACACGTGGACCCCACCTCTTTAATATGTATGTAGGAAAGTAAAGTTGTGTTATGTTACCTGATAAATATAAAACCCTAAAATTAATAGTCTACCCTGTGAAATTAAGTCAACAATATCAATTTCAATCGCAACATTTATTAGTTCTGAACAGATAAAACTCTTAACTATGACTTATCAATTAACTTATAAACATAAATAAACTTTTGAAATTGCATTAAAGAAAACAAGAACAAGAGAATAAAGGCCTTCTTACGCTGTGGTTTCTTGGCCACCACCCTGAGTGCCAGTACTGACAAAGAAGCCAGCAGGCAAACCTGCCAGCTTCTGCTGCTGCCATAACTGACCTGTTGAATCAAAAAAGGCCTTCATCTGCGCAGCCATACTTCCATACCTTGTTGGAAACCCAAACAGCAACCCATCAGCCTCAACTAACTTCTCTGCAGATATCAGTGGCACTTGATCATCCTTTTCAGGTGCACTCATGAGTTGTAAAACCTCCTTAGGTAGTGTCTCCATCACACGGTACAACACCCCTTCAACTCCTTCAATGGAATCAACCCCTTTTTTCAAGGATATCGCCAATGACTCCACATGCCCATATGTTGAGTAGTAAACAATGAAAACTTTCAGCTTTTTCACTTCTTGGGGTGGTGGTGGCACCTCTTGGCTTCTACTTGTTGCATCATTTTTTGGAATTAGGCTTTCAGCACTAACAACAGGATCATTCTTTTCTGGTTCCGAAATTGGTAACTTTTTCTTGCTTGGTATGCAACCACTTCCTTTCCCCATCGAAAGTCAAAAGATATTTGCTAAGATAGCTTCTAAAAGATGAACAAATAAGACAATTGTTGTCTTACTTGGAATACAAGATACAAGGATAGAAATTAAGAGAAGAAGGAAACAGAAAGATTAATGTTATGAATCAAATATTGGTTCTGAAACTTTGAATTATATGCTTTGATCTCAGACCAAACAATAAAACAAAAGGAAAAAGGCAGAGAGATAGAAAACAGTGGAACTTGAACAAGCTTGGATTTAACGTCACATATGAGCTGTTTTAACTATTAAGATAAGATGAATTAGAAAATGTCTATTCGCTGGCATGCTATAGTTTTTGAATCATATAAAGACGACTTCATATTATTTTATTTATTTATTTTTTTGGTGAACATGGGCATTGTCCTTAATTGAGAAAATTAATGCAGCCAAAGGCGACAAAAGAAATTTGGCAAAGAATCAAATGATATCGGGTATGGACTGACTAGAGGTTAGTTGACAACTTTAACAAATAATATTAAATGAAAATATCCTTTTCATTGACAAATTCAAACTAATATTTCTTAAAGGGATAATATTTTTTTTGTGGGGGGGCAAGAAATTGAAAATCCAATTTAAATCCTTTGACAGATTCCAATTAATTTTTGTGGATAGATTATATTGTTTTCATAGCTGTTGTAAGCCCTTTTAATATTATGCAATTATTGGTAAGTTATGGCTAACTAATTTGGTGCAGGAATGATTCCCCGTACAAATACAAATGCACAAACTTGTTGCAAATTTAAATCAACGAAGACTTCACTCTTCAGACTTTGTTGTTATCAGTGACGTTTAACACTGATATTAAAAGTGTGTGAGAGATGCATGCGTGTAAGTTTGTTCAATTGGACCATTATACTTCTCGAGCAAATAAATAGAATAGTTGTACCATCATCGTTGAATATCTGAGGTGGGGTTCATTGGTTAAGCTACATTCCAGTTTTTACTATGAATATTGTCTGATTAGTTCAAAAAACTCCTTTAACATGAAATGACAATAATATTGGTTTTTCAACCACAAATTGTTCGTTACTCACTCACACAAGGGGATGCTTGTTTGTTTGAGTAGGTGGTGAATAGATACGGAAGTGAAAAATGGAATTGAATAGAAACTTTCTTATTTTCACTCATTGTTACTTACAGTCTCTTTGGCACTTTTTTTTTTAGTTAAAAATTATTTTTAAGTTAAAGCCAAAACAAAAACTTTAAAAATAAAGCTAAAAGTTGTTTGATGATTATATAAAAATTTTATTTTTAAAAGTTACTTAAAAATGTTTTTTTTTTAAAAAGCTGATATAATTTAAAAAAAAAACTCCTCCTTCGTTATAAATAAAAGCTCTTTTATTATAATAGTTTTTATAAAAATCTGTTTGACCTAACTTATACTTATAAGGATAAAAGAATATAAAAAAAAATTCCAAATCAGTACTTAGTAGAGATATTGGAAAATTATTTATAGGTTACTAAGGTAGGGGTTATATTGACAAACTTTTTTCTTACAAACTATATTAAGTATGACTGATCAAACTTCTGGTGAGACTTCAATCAAGAATGTATGATGGTCAGACTTCAATCAAGAGTGTATAACCGATAAGACATAGTGTAATTTGTAAAAATTTGTAAACAAAAAATTTGTATTTTAATGCAATAAGAGCGACCAAAACTCATTATGTGATGCGTAAATGAGTTGCACTCTGCTTTATCAGCCATCCAATTTCTTTGTTGAACAAAGCAAATGTTAAGTAGTTTATCCAAATTTTTCTATTCCATCAGATATACGTATACCGTGTCAGCCAAAACGGAAAGCGAAATAAATTATTGGTTTCAGGGAAAATGGTATCATGAAGTAGGATTACCAAATTGTGAACACTAAAAGTGGATGATACGACTGGTAATTGTTCAAGGAGCAAACTGTCAGGACGAAAAGTTATTTGGCTCGATTCTGATTCTTAGATGAAATAGTTTGGGTTAGTGACAAAAAACGTTGGCGTGTCCTTCAAATGGGTAGGAAGACCTGTAAAAAAAACAAATTGTGTAAGCATACAAGAGACAATCCTTCCTCCAACCCTAGTAGAATAAGCTTATTGAACTAATGGTCATTAGAAAATTAAATCTATTAGTAAATATTATTTATTTATTATTAAGATGAATATCCAAAGTATTAAACTAAATTTTAAACATAAATCATTAATATATGAAATATATTTCATTAACTAATATATATATGAGGTAGAATCCTTTAACACCAGTGTCAAATTTAAAAGTTGACACCTCATCTGAGAGCCATTAGATCAAAAAAAATCAACGACTCTGATTTGTAAGCGTGTGTCACCGTTGATCTTTTTTGATCTAACGGCTCTCATATGAGGTGTCAAACTTCAAATTTGACACTGGTGTCAAATGATCCTACCTCTCTTTCTCTCTCTCTCTCTCTCTCTATATATATATATATATATATATATATATATATATATGGGTTTGATGTTACTTATGTTGAGAAATTTTTTTTATCTCCTACATATACATAAAAGTATGTGGGGTCCATGTAGGGATATGTAAAAAGAAGATAGAGAAAAAGAAAATATAGACCTCAAATATATATATATATATATATATATATATATATATATATATATATATATGGGACAAGATCCTATCCATGGGGCAGGATCCTATCCATATATATAAAGAAAATGAATGATATTTATTACTTACTGTTTGTATTCTACTCACGAACAATTTTCTCATGATTTTAAGAATTGAATGTATGACCAAATTTGGAATTTAGCAAGGTTTACTGATGGTGACGACGGTGGTGATAATGGTGATGGTAGCGGTAACATCATCGTAGTGGTGGTCACGAGACGATGACAGTGATGGTACGACAATGGCGGCGACGATGGTAGCGGTGGTCGTGTCGGGATGGTAATAATGATGGTAGTGGTGGAGAGTAATTGAAAGACAAGTGTTTTTTATTTTGTGTCCAGGAACAAAAAAGCCAAAAAAAAATGATTCTTTGTCTATTCCCCAACACAGAAATTGAACCGGTTCATTCTCGGGAAAAAAAAAATTGATTTTGTCAAATATTGTTTCTATCCATTTCTATTACTGAAAAAAAAATTAATTCTGAGAAGGTTGTCATGCACATCCCAAACGACTATAATTAATTGGATTATTTTCATTAACTAATTATTAATTTCCCAAAAAATTTATATATATATATATATATATATATATATATATGTATATATATGGGAAATACTACTCTCATTTTAGATGAGATAGTTATCTCATGTTCTCTCACTTCAAAGATTGCACCTCCTCTTCTTTTTCTTTTTTGCTTTTTATTAGTGGGTCCCACTTGAATTCTCTCTATAGCATGAGAGAACTACTCTAATGTAACATGAGAGTAATATATATATATAGGGGTTTACATTTCTGCAGTTGCTGTACGTGCAACAATCAAATACTTGCTATATATATTGAAAGCATTAAATGCGGGGAATCATAATCATACAAAGGATGAAAACATTAAATGTGGAAAATCATAACCATACACTTGTCGTTGTTGTACGTAAAGCAGATGTAGAAATGATTTTATCATATATATATATATATATATATATAAATAATATAGGGCATATATATATAATATGGGGCAAGATCTTCTTATATCAGTCTAAGAATAATACATCTTATACTCAATATTAACCATTAGATAAATAATGGTTAAAAATAAAGTTATCTTACACTCAACCTTAACTATTATATATATGGGTTCCAAACTTCTGTCGTCGTTGCACTACTTTTTCTGGTGTAGCAGACACAGAAATAGTGGGCCCCTTGTTTTTTTTTTGTATAAAAAAATAAGAAGTCAGGATTCGTATGGCTTTTTATATGTTGTTGCAAAAAATTTCTTCTGCATCAACAGTAGAAGTACATTTCCCTCTATATATATGTATATATATAGGGAATGGTCCGTTTACAAACTTCTTTCACAAATTTTTGTAAATTATACTATGTACTCCTAGAAGTATATAGTGTAACCTAGTGTACTTTCGCGAAAATATAGTGTAATTTGTAAACAAAAAGTTTGTAAGTATAGCCCTTATATATATATATATGGAACAAAGTATCTAATGTTACTTTAGACATCTTTATCTAATGTTCATCGAAACGACGTTGTTTTGGGTTGAAAAATTAAAAAATTGTTATAAAAAAAAAAAATTTAAAATTAAAAAATTAAAATGATAAAGACTATTATAACCCTGAATTAAATTAAAATTACAAAAACACCATGATTTCTGTCCCAAAACGACGTCGTTTCAATGAACATTAGATAAAGTTATCTAAAGTAACTTTAGAAAAAACAAACCCATATATATCGGGGGCAAGATCTACTTCTGTCACAAAAGATAAAGTTAACCAAATGGTGGTAGCTCAGTTGGCGCATGGGAGCTAAGCAAGTAGAGGTGAGAGCATGTGTTCGAATCTCCCCAGTACCACCTTTGGGAGGGGTTTAAAGCCTTAATCCTGGACCCGCCCCAAATCGGATTAGTTGCGAAGCAATGAACCGATTGAAATATTTCTAAAAAGAAAAAAAATAAAGTTATATCCTACAGCCCCAAAACAACTGAACAGTGACCAAAGTGCCATTGTTGGCCAAAAAAATTACCAGACTACCACGCCAACAGTAAATTTTGCCAAAATGTCACGTGGCATATTTCGCTACACTGTGTAGCGAAATATGTGTGCAGATAATTTGTTACACTGTGTAGCGAAATATGTGTCAAAATTAAAGAAATTCGCTACATAGGGTAGCGAATTTCTACAATGACACGTGACATTTTTGGTTCTGACGTGGCATATTTTGCTACACTGTGTAGCGAATTATCTGCACATATATTTCGCTACACAGTGTAGCGAAATATGCCACGTGGCATTTTGGCAAAATTTACTGTTGGCGTGGCAGT